GATCTGCTCAGGTCCCTTTGGACCCTACCAACTATGAAACTATGAAATTTTAAAAAATGAACTTGAATGGGAATTTGCAAAATAAGAATTCATCCACTGACTGGACTGTGTTACATGTGGTCTAATTGTGATCTGTTTAATTTGGCTGAGCATGGTGCTGTCCATTAACCAAGACAGGTAGCTAGCCAAGTTAGTTGGAATTCAGACTAACTTCTACCTGACTTCAGACTAACACAGCTCAGCCAAATATGATCTAAACAAGGACTAGAGATTCTCATCCCATTATCTGGATTAGATTTCGTAACCCCTTTGTCCCTTTAAATTTATTACTTGATTGCCTCTCCCAGCACTACCGTCCTCACCACTCCCACCACCACCAGCTCTCCCTCCCTTGTTTTTTGTGTTCAAATCATTCTCTCCACTTGATACACTTTTTGCCCATGTTCTTTCATATAATGTATTAAAGTGAGCTTAGTCTCACAAAAGCTCATACTATACATCCCAAGTTTATTTAGTCAATAAGATACAACTCTGTTCTGCCTACATCCAGTCTTCATGACATCAGTAGGTGTAGAAACCACCTTGTTGCTTCATAGTTTGTTCCAATTGTTACCCACAGTCTCTGTTTAAACAGTTGTGCCTTATTTCTAGTCTGGATTTATCTGACTTTAATTTTCAGCCATCAGTTCTCATTAAGTGTTACATTGCCAGATTAAGGAGTCTTTTAGTACCAAGTATATTCTCCCTGTCAAGCTGGAATCAAATACCCTCTTGTGTTAATATTCCCCATTTAGCTTTGTAGGACTAGTTGCTTGGGTAAATTTCCTCTTGTATGATCAGAACCTGCAAAACTATTTCAGATTATTTAAGAAACAGATAGTTTGCACAAATCACCGCCTAATTTAGATATAATGTTTATTACTGACCTCATTAATTAACATTTGTTAACACAAATTCATTAATTATTTATACTGTCTTGTTGGGTGAATGTATATATAGAGGAATTAATACATTAACTTGTTTATATTTAGCATTATACATTATTTATTTTTAGCATTTTCTATGAAAATAATAGGTCTCTTCTCATCTGCCTGGACAATAAATGTCCTGTGAAGTGGTGGGAATTATTTTTTTTGGCTGCCTAGGGGCTTAAGGATTTTAAGAAGCAAAATGGGAAGGGTTGTGGGGGCAGAGGGAAGAGGAGATAAAAGGAGGGAAACAAAAGAAGATAACTTACTAACTTATTTTTCCTCCTTTCTATATATAGATTAAACATAAACTTGCATAGAAATGTTTAAGAGTGTCTGCTGAATCTACATATATATAGATATGGATATAGATATATCTATATCCATATCAATATATAGATATATCTATTTATAACACGAGGAAAAGAAGAAGATAGCTTATTATCTTCTTTTTTTCCTCCTTTTATCTTCTCTTCCTTCTGCTCCCACAACCCCTCCACTTTTGCCTTTCAAAATCTTTAAGACGCTAGGCAGCCAGAAAAATAATTCCCACCACTACTGGCTAGAAATGAGTGGGAAAGGTTATGGGGATGGCAAAGAATCAAAATGCAGGGCAGGCCTAGAGGAAGAGGAAAGTTAACTATAAAAATACCATGAACGTAAGTGAGAACTGAAAGCTGAGTGTTCAGGAAAAACTGAGATTGAATAAGGTATAAGAGAGAAGTCTACATCTGATATTAGGAAGTTTGCACTTATGTCTTCCTGTTGCTCCACTTCTTATATGAAAAATTGGAACAGATCCATGTCTGAGTTATTAAAAGCTACTTAGTCACTGGGAAGCATGGTAGCCATTCCGGAGATATATTTTAAACTAGATTCTTAAACTAGATTCTGCCATCAGGAATGGCAGGCAGAAGTGCTGAACCTTTGCTGCCATCCAGCTGTCTGCTTCCTTCATGTCAAATATCTTGTCATTTACTAATCTAAACCTCTTCCCTTCCTGATCACCAAATCAAGGGATTTTATTCATATGCTGAGAGCCTTGTTATATATTAGACTCATAATGCAAGATGCTATAATTCTCTGTCTGTTAGAAATGTTATAACTAAAGCATAGAATATTTTCACTGAGCAAAATGCACACAATATGAAGCTTCTTTCTCAAATAATGAAGTGTGTTCTGCCAGCTGCTTTTAGACAGACTAACATGAAATAGTGGAGTTGCCCTGTTGCCATCTTGGCAGCCCAGTGGTTCTTTTCCTTTTTATTTTCAAGGTCTTTCAATGTTGGAGTTTTTACCTGCTCAAATGGACAGCTTGAATTATAATGGTCTGGATCAATTTACTGTCTTTTCACTCCTGTGGGTAGTTGTTTTTTCAAGCTACTCATTGTTTCAGCTGTATTTTCAAGAAAAAAATATGTGAATATGAGAGAACATAATTTTACCATGTGTTTGAGAAAAGAAGCCAAACTTATTAGATTCTTAATTCATGACAATGTCACTCTATTGATTTTTTTTTTTTTTTTTTTTTAAATGTGATAGAAATAGAAATGTTAAAATAGTAAGTGCTATATCTCTTCCAAACTATAATTAACATTAAGAAAATAGTCATCTGTATTTATGGTGAAAAACAGAAAACTTGTCAAAGATGTGGGCAACTTTCCAAAACTTAGGGAAAATGAACTGTTGCTTCGGGGTTGTCTTGCCTCACAATCCTCAGATTTCCCTTTTCACACCATGTTGCCAAACTAGTCAAAGCCTTATGTATGCTGTAGGGAGAACAACTTCCACAAATTCTTTCTCTCAGTTCTTGGTTTACTTAACAAGGTCACAGCCAGATCATATCTGATCAGATAATACAGTCCTGAATCCTTAAAATCGTGCCATCACCACAAGGCATTCTTTCCTTGAGCTAATGTCTATTGAGAACCAATGAGTTCCTATAAAAGGAAGAGCTTTCCCTTGTGTTAGTGACATTCTTATGGTTCTATGCATATGTAATGCTTACAAATGACTCTGTATCAGGGACCGGGCACCATTCAAAGTGAAATGATGCAAGTGTTTCGTGGGAGGAAAAGGATCAGCAATACTCTTATCTGAATTTCTGTTGTGTGCTTTCAGGCTGAAATTGCCCAGCTTCAAGAGCAGCTGGCCCTCAAAGATGCGGAAATTGAACGTTTACAGAGTCAGCTCGCTAGGACGTCAGCACATAATGAGATTGCAGAAAGAGGTAAAAACGAATTGGGCAGAGGGAATGGGGAGTGGATCACAGCTTGAAATAGAATTGTTTGTGTTTAGTTCAGTGAGGCTACAACTGCTCAGTATTTAAAGTAACGTAAGGAGCACATCTACATGAGACGCTTACTGCACATTAGCCTAACACTGCGCAGTAGCGTGTTGGTTAAACACCATGCTAATAGACTACTGTGCAGTGTTATTAGGCTAATGTACAGTAAGCATCACAAAATAACCATGCACCGGTGCTACTGTGCATTAACTCTAGTTATGTGCATTTAGTTAGTACTTTATTAAGCAAGCACTAATCTAAGTGCTCAGTATCTAAGACATGCTAATGAACGTGTAGACATGTCCAAGGACACATAACAATACAACTAGGATTTTTTTTTCCTGGAATGTGCAGGGAAGGGTGATCTACTGAAACTAAATACAAAAAATTGGTATCTGCACTGTGCTGAAACTTCTAATTGAGAGCTCTGTTTTAATATAATCTAATGTAATCCCTATAAACAATATTGTTTTTTAGAATGTACTTCAAAGTTTTATGAAAGGTTATTTCCAATTGCTGTAAAAATGTTCTTTATCACTTCACAGAAGTAGCCATGTGTACGCCTTAGCTATTCAAACCTTCCAGAACGTAACTCTCTCGTTCCAGATCATCTCACGTTCAGTCCAGTATGTCTTAAATCTGTGTGAGCAATATCAGACAGTGCCACACAGAACAGGTGATGCCATGAATCACTGCCCTTCCATTCTCAGCCAAACTCATCAAACTTCCCCGGCGGGTTGTCCCAATAGAATTTTCATCAATATTGGGATGTAGCAGAGGTGATGCTGTGGGCCTGTGAAGCCTTTCAATGCCTTGACCCCGCTCAAGTGATATCTGCTGAATCACTGCACAGTGAAATTAGTGCACAATAAAATGGGATGTGAATTTACAACACGCTACCTAGCCTGTGCTAATCTGCTGTGTTGACAGTTAAACCCAAATTCTGTTACTTTTTATGCACCTAAATAGCAGTTAACAAGCCATGTAAGTAGCGTTCTCAGCATTTATCAACAGTTTTCCCTCTGTTATCCATGCTGTGTGGACACTTAAGTGTTTATATTCCTGCTGTGCATGCTCAGTATATTATGTACTGGCTTGGCAGATTTGCAGCTATGTATGCAAGTCACAGAATTGTAGCCAGACAAAACCCCAGTGAGAGGGAGGAGAGGTTCCCTTTGTTTTAGTCCCAGTAGCTGAGTGCTTAGGGTACTCACTCAGGAAGCAGGAGACCTGAGTTATAGGCCCCTCTCAGTCCCCACTCCCCTGAGCAGGCAAGAGAGTGGGGTAAGTGGATCCAGAAGGAAGAGAATGAACTAGAGGTTGGTTCAATGAGATAGATGCTGCTCCTGAAAGGAACAAACCCAGGGTTGTAGCTGAACCATTGCTCCAAATGGAAGAGAAACTTCCCTACTGTTTTCCGTCCATTTTATCCTGAAACTACTATATGCAGTTTGCAATGGCTCAGCTTCTAAAGGAGTACCAAAGAAAGGACCGGCTAATTCCTGATCTGTGGTATGGTACTTAAAGCACTGTGCCAAGAAGTCAGGGAAACAGGTTCAAACCCTGTCTGTGTGAGGGTTACCTAAAACCCAGGTCTCTGCTTCCAGCATGAGTACCATCAACACACAGCTTTGATGCTAAAACTTGGGAGGGTCCTCCTTCTGTTTTTTTCCCAGAACTTATGCTCAGCGTACATGTGTACATAGCCATGTAGCTACTTACCAGTGCACAGCCTACTGTGTATGCACACGAGCCATGTAGTCACATATGTCCGCAGTGCAGATATGCTAGAATCACAAACTTGGGGTAGTGATAAGTGCCAAAAATACCACTTACGAGGCTGGGCAATAGAATAGACAGAGGTAGTTAGTTGGAAATCAGGCAAAAGGGTAGAGGTGCCACCCTGCCTTGCAGTCTGCCTTTTGTACTTACTGCATGGTAATTCATACTTGGCTTATTGCTCATGAGCTTCTTTGAATAAACAAGCCTTCTGTCTTCTCTACCAGAAATAGACACAGTCTCGCCATTTATTATACGTCACTTCCTGGATGCTCTTTCAGTCCATGTTCTAACACACATTAGAATCTGTCACATGGAGTCTGTGATGCTGGTTTCAGTCAAATGCAGAGCTTGTGCATGTTGGTTGTTCAAGATTTGCATGTATTACTAGAAAATATATTTTCCCTAACAATGTTATGAAACTTTAACAGTTAATGGAAAAAAAAAATGTTTTCAGTTAAGAGAACACGATTTTTTTTTTCCTTGGGATGTCCAAAGACTTTTAAATATCCTGGAGGAAAAAAATCTTGGCCATTTTACCAAAGAATCGAAAGCTCAAAAGGTTTTTTTGTCTGCGGTAAACATCTCTGTGATTCCAATGAGAAAGTGTGTAAGCAAAGTTTATTGTGGTCAAGTTATATTTGAATGGAATGGTACACAGTAATAGTAACATCTTCTTTACGAAAAGATAGCTGACATCAAACTTGAAGGTCATCTTCTGAGACAGACAAGAATAATAATGTCAAGGTCTATTTATTATGCTTGAGTGCATATTCTTATGAAGTTGCATTTTTTATCTAATCTGTGCTTTTTCTACATACTTTATTGACTTTCACCATTTACCATCGTAGAGGAAGTTTATAGGAGAAGGCTAAAAGAGAAACGTAAGCCTTGAGATTCACTATCTTACTGTTCCTTTTCACACAAATTATAGCTAAAATGCACTTCTGCAGCAATAATTCAATGTCCGTTTACATTTGGCTGCTGCATTATAATATTTATAAGACATTGCTTTCATTGTTTGCAGCAAGCAGACAGCTACTGGCCCTGCTTCAATCTTGAATTAGATTTATCATTTCAAACAAATATTAAAAAAATCTCACAGGTCTGCAAATCAGATGTTGGACTTTAAAGGGACACTGCCAAGGTTACAAGGCCTAAAATTTGATCTTTGCATGTTAACTCTGTGTGATAGCTAGTATGCTTACCTTTTTAAAAAAAAAAATCTTTTGTGGATTTTGAAAGATGACTGTGTTCAAAAGCATGCTTAACTGTTCTTTTCACCAGTGGGGTAAAAGGGAAAACATTTTGGTAAGGAACTACATTTTTGTTCAGTCTTGTTTGAAGCCTTTTTGAAGCACTGTGAATGAAATTTATTTTGAAGTTATTAGATATCACTGCCTTGATACCTGTCCTTTTAAAATCTAACAGTGATGAATGAAAATTAGGTAAACAGTGATTTTTTTTTTTTTTCCCTTTTTGCAAAAAATGTGCATTGCCTGCATTCCATTACAGACATTAATT